GCCAGTTCGATTGTCGAACGAGCGAACATCGAGAGAACGAAGGTTCTATATAAGACTGGCACGTCTGCCATTAGATAGGAGCTTCGTGCTCAACTTAGTTATCAATCTTATCAGATTAGTTTGACATCTTTGATACAAGTAACGAGTTCACTTCCAAGTGAACAACCCGATAGTCTTCTTCTTATCATAGCATACCAACCAGCGAACACCCAGCCAAGTTTAGTTAGCCAGTTTGAGTATTCATTACAAAAGTACGTACTTAATTAATAAGTATATAGGTTTTCGCGTACTTCTCGTTACTCTTTTATAGTATTACTATAGCTAAGTTTTAGTCTATTTACTAGGAATATAAAGTATTATTAAAACATCTTCGAAACCTAGACTTATAATTAGTATACTAAGTATAGAAAGTAGTTATAAGAGAATAAGTATTAGAACGAGTTCTATAGATATAAAGTAGTTCTAGAGACTCTAATATATAACGAGATTAGAGACTAAGAAGCTCTCTATAATCACTCCTATATAAGAGTCTTAGTATTAATTAAATTATATAACGTGCATGTATAGCGAACCGGCCAAACAAGCGAACCGGCCAAAGTTTTCTACACTCGCGATTGAAATTGTAAGAACTCTACCACAACGCCTCTAATTAAAAAACACTATTCAGAAATTTCTTCCTCAGATACTTCCTCTATAATATTACAGGTGCGCGTATTATGACCAGTCTCTCCGCAGTTGCCACAGCGCCGTGCACGTGATTCTTCCCTCGGCTTCCGACCACTACTTCTCTTTATTTCCTGCATTACCTGCTCACCAACGTCTCTATCATCCTGTAGGTCCTGCGCTTCCTGTTGACTAAGTGATCCTCCTTGCTGTAGGCGTGTTTTTTTTTTAGCTCTACGGCGCTTACTTAGTACTTCATTTGCTTGTCGAAGTCTCTGGTTCTCAGCTTTCAATAGTACTATCTGGTGCATTACTTTTGATGCACCCTTCGTAAACTGGTCAATGGCCTCGTAAATAGGGGTTGGAGAGCTACTTTGGTGGCGTAAAATTCGATCTTTAATAAATGCAGTCTGTGATAAGGCTTCAGTAGGGTTATTTGGTGTCTGGGAAACCCAAGGCTGAGCGGAATACGGGGGGGAGTTTGGAGGCGTTGGCGTCTTTAGCTTAAGATCAAGTGTAGAAATTACACTTTCTGGGTCAAATGGAAGAAGCCCAGCCCCTCGGAACCCTCCTCGGATATTGCTTTCTGTCATTGCAATATTAAATGCGGCGTGGAAGGCAGGAAAGAAATCATCCTTAGTAATATGGATGATCGGAGCCCGCATCATATCTTCAATTTGCTGACCATATGCCCTTTTCAAAGGGCTAAAACAGCCAACGTCGAGTGGCTGGAGTATATGAGAAGAATGAGCAGGCATACAAAGAGTGATAATGTTGTTTTCCTTGCAATATTCCTCAAATTCGTCGGAGTGGTGGCTTTCATGGCCGTCGAGGACTAATAGACGATAACCACCAATAGATTGGGACTTTGTATGCTTCTCAAAATGTCGAATCCAATCCATGCCTTTCTCATTTGTTGTCCAACCATTTTCAGTAATAGCAATCACCCAGTTAGGTGGAAATCCACTGTTTTGGTACCAAGAAGCGAGGTGATTTTTTGCGGCAACAATCACAAACGGTGGAACACACCAGCCTTGGGCATTAACCCCCTGGATTACTGTAACCCATTCCCGATTACCAGGCTGTACTCTTTTTGCTTTTACACGTCCTTCTGAGCTTGTAATAACCATTGCAGTTGAGATAACGCCCATCATAAACCCAGTCTCGTCAAAGTTGTAGATATCTGCATCGTAGATTCCGTACTTCGCTATTGTGTTTCGTACAAGCTCAAACCAGCCACGAATGACTTCTGGATCTTCGCACTTAGCTCTCGGATAGTCGTATTTTCGTTGGAAGCGTGTCTGGAGTTCTGGGCGGCGCTTAACAAAGTTATAAGCCCAACGCGTCCCGACGCGTGGCGCGTCGCGTGCTTCAAGAAGTCGATTTGCTATATCTTCAACTACAGATATCCGCGGAGGAAATCCTTTTGTAGCTAGGTCGAGGATATGTTGAACAAGTACTGATTCCTCTAGCTCGGTCATTTTCCGTGAATTGGCTAAAATATCGCATCGTGAAGGTATACCAAGCAAACGTCGACCTAGCTTCCGGTGGTCTACAGAATAGGTCCTGGCAGCAGCTCGAGCACGTAAATTTGGGTCTTTTTGCGTAGCTTGGATAGCTAAGACTAACCGGCTTTCGTCATTTTTCAGAGGCATCCTTCGTTGTAGAGAAATTTAATATTTCGTGGAGGTGTGGTGAGGTCGCCGGGTTTTGGCCGGTTCGCTTGTTTGGCCGGTTCGCTTGTTTGGCCGGTTCGCTATACATGCACGTTACTATTAATATGAATAGTAAGTATTATATATATCTTAGAATAGAATAGAGAATATGGTAGCAGTTATTTATTTATTCGTTGGAAGACTCTACCCCCTCCCTCTCCACTGCCGACATTCCCCCGAAAGACTCACTCAACGAGGCTTCCCCAACAACCCTCGACGATTATAACACTGAATAAGCCTCGCTCTCCCAGCAATTCAAGAGGTTCATAAAAGTACATCCACCAGGTGGATTGAGCTACCGGCAAGATTTGCATGAAAAACCAACTTCCTGAAGTCTGAGAGTAAGGTTGCAGAGTTAATCCGAGCCCAGCGTGAGCTGAGCTTGTCTCTTGCTATTTCTGTTTTTATTTTTGTATTTTTGGGGAATTTTTGGGGGACTTCTGGACAACATGAGAAGTTGAGTGCTTGAGACTGGGGTTGGCATGGTTGGCGCCTTCTATACCAGGAAACGACAGAATCTCATAGAGAATGAGACCTTCAATCAGGCCTCTGGGCTTAATATAGGGTTGAGTGATTTCATAATTCATTGCGTGGCATGGCATGACCACAGACTTCTAGCGCTTACTCTGAAAATCATATATTCAGCTCCTCTTGGCTATTTTATGGTACATCACTTTGCAATAACAGCAACCGAAATGGTCGTACAATGTCCAAACCCACTGGCTCTGAGGAGATTCATGCGCTTATTACTGACACTACTAACCATCTATGATAGTAGTCGGCTTCAGGCTTCAGCTCCACTACTCGCTAATGTAAAGATGAAGAAGACTCGCCTAAATTCAAGAAAGTAAGTATCTATCTTTAATTACACCCCCGCGGATGAAAAGCACTATACTTTTTTACCTAAACCACTCCTGTATCAAGAAAAATCGTAGCTGCACAAGTGATCAAATCCAAGCAATATAGCTTTCAGGGTGTTGGTTTACAACCGCGATTGATATATTGGTAGAGTCTTCTTTTTGCTTCCAAATTTTACAGTATCATTAGTACGATCATATTCCTGGATGTTAGTAGAAAGTTTGGTTCACTTTTCACGTGCCACACTATTCAAGGACAAGACCTTATACTTCTCCCCAGCACGACTGAACCCGACGTATTCGATACGCTAGCCAACGGCCAGCATTAGAAAGAGAATAGATCAACACAGAAGGACGATCCATGGCCACAAGAGCCATGAAGCCTTCACACCCAGGTTTTTAGTTCAAATATGGCCTCATTGGCAATGCAACTGGTCAATATTCTGTGTATTCTTATCAAAGTTAAAAGAAATAGCTCAAGTAAGTAATCGATAACAGAAGAGAGTTTGGACTAAAAAGGCTTTACTCACTTCGGTACTCAAGCACGTATAACCTTTCAGACGTCGGCCTTCACGCAGACATCGTGTATTCCTAGGTGCCCTTACGGAATTCGTCCATCTTCAGTTACATTACCAACCCAATCTCATCAAAGACACCCCCTATGTATTGATTTTATCCGTGATGGATGGTCATGATCTGGAGACTGGACCCATATAGTGAACTCGTCAGGTTTCGCTATCTGCGATGAGTCACATCTGATCACTATGTATGCACCAAGGAATTAAGAGTGAAAACAATAACGCGAATATCAATTGCGTAAGACACGTAGGCGAAAATCTGTGCACACCTAGGTTAGAAAGAGATATTTCTCTAAAAGTCTCGTATAATTAAAATGGTTCTCTAGGTGATCTAGGATAATTGAAATTAATATATCTTTATTAACCTAAGTGATTTGTGAGAATCAAGTTAAGTGTTCTAGGAAACCTAGTAAAATAGGCTATAATCAGTTTGGAACAATTGTTACTGCTTACTTTGAATTAGCCTAGGTATAATAATACTATTATTCTATTTTTACTAGAAGTTGAGTACAATAACTTTTTATATAATGTGTACAGAGTAATGAGCAGGTATTTTACGAGTAAGGGCGCATGAAATTCTATCTCCAGAGTGACTTTATTCTCCGGCGAATTAGCCATGTTCTCGCCCGGTACGTGGGGAGTATAATCAACCCAAGTATCTCAGAAGTACACTGTCTTCATATCTCACATCCTAGTTACGGAATTATGAACTTGCCTTTCCCGTTGCTTGTTGTAACACGTGGGTTGTTATTAGATATTAAACGAACGTTACAAGGGTCTTCATGGAACTCAGTTGAGTGAAAATACGATGTTGATACTATGCTGGAACAGAGACACTACTAAATAGACAGTATGTAATAGGCGAGGATTCTATAGCTTCTGCCCTGATGGTGACTAGCGCGGCTTTCAGACAGGTTCTTTTCACGTGAGGATCTTACTGTAAAAGAAGAACCTGATCCATCGAGAACTCATTGATTGAAACTTCAAATTACATTTCATAGATAAACAGTTCTCACATAAAGAGAGACCAGAGTTGGTTACTTGTAATTTGGAGTATAGGAAAACAAAATCTTGGTTTCAGGAAGCAATAACGCAGCCTGGTCCTATTATTCCCACGCAATGTCTTCCTCTGTCGGTTTCATCCCAGTCACCACCCAGAAACGCCAAGTATTGCCTTTCTCCGCCATTTACTCAATGACTCCTTGCTTAAGAGCCTTGAAGTCATCAGGTTTAAACCAGTAATTTGGGTCTCCTGCAGAGCGTTAATCTTTTGTCCTTAACCGAGAACTTGTACAATCAACACTTACGCGCGCCCATTGCAGCAAAGTTATCAATGATAGCAGTGATATTGGTAATAGTACTTGTCTGTTCCTCCAGCGTAGCAGCCTTGATTCCTACGTCGAACGACATAATCTTCTCATCAGCCTCGACAGCACCAGCCTTGTGCATCCACTCTCCAGCCGAAGGACCCGGCCGTGGCTTCAACCCACGCCTTGTGAACTCCTTGTTGAAGTAATCCATAGCTTTGATTATCTCAACATTGTTTTCTCTTCCATCGACGCCGTCTCCTCTGTCGAAACCGGTAATGTTACTCTCGACAATCTGGAGATAACCTCCCGGCTTGACATTACCATAGAGTCGCTTGATAATTGCTGCGCCCTTCTCGGCACTGAACTGGGTCAGGCAGTACCGTTGGTGTACGAGGTCGTATGCATTCTGGTCTTCTGCTGGCCATTCATCGAGCACATTTTGGACCTTCAAACTGATAGAGCTAGGGATGTCTTTGAGTTGTTCAAAGTGCTTTTCATTGATGTCGGTTTTACGAGTTCAGCATTTGGGTAATGCTTCAAGACGTCGACCATCCAGGTGCCATCACCTGTGCCAGAGTCGAGGATGCGAAGAGGATCTGTTTTAGATAGAGGGACCCGGACTAGTTCTCCGGAAATTGCAGTCTTGTGGAGCTCATGCTGCAAGCGGAGGCGTTCGTATTCGTCCTCTTGACGTAGATATATCCCCTTCAAGAAGTCGTCAAACGATGGAGCGGGCTGGACGGAGCCTGTGGAAGAAGTCATTTTGAAATCCCGAACTTGTTTTGGTGCAGGCAAAGTGTTTAAGCTGCCAGAAAAAGGAATGAAAGCGAACGATACTGTGGCAGAGGGGTTGAAGAGCAAGTCCAAAGGTTCATGGCTGAGGTTTGCTTACCGTTGGTTGGAAGGGGGTTGGGGAATGTTGTAGAGTGTTTTGAGGTTGATTAGCGAGTTGGCAGAAGGTTGGTTGTTTCTAGGTGGATTGGGGGATAATTGGTAGTTGGATAATAGCTATTCATATTACGAGTTCATAAATAGCAGACAGCCGCAATAGAGTATTCAAGGTACTTGTACAAGTAGGTTAACACACTGAAATATAACTTAAGCGAGTCGAACAGAACGCAACACCAAGTTTTTGTCTTATTAATTTGATTTTTGATGAAGTAGTTACTGCAGCTACTTACCCATCAATTGAGCCTAACCTACCCAACCCCCCAATTATTAAGCCTCACGCCTCCTGCCTAATAACCCTCTCACCAGCTACCCAAGAAATCCCAACATTCACTAAATCGCCCCTCACCGGGCCAAAGACATCTACATGCAAGTCATCAAGATATATGTATACCCTACATATATCCACACATACATGATCTTCAACAAAAATAAACCATAAAACATCCAAAACTCAATACTTAACATCACACAATTCACCCCTTAGTACCTTTCACTACAAAACGACTCGACGCCCATAGAAGAAAGCCAGTTGCACCGAGGAAGAGAAAGCTCAATTCGCCCAAGAGGAAAAGGCCGACCACCGTGACAGAAAAATTAGATTCCAAGTATCTAGTCTCTCATCATTGAAGTCTGGATCTGGAGAACCTGTGAATTCAGTAATAACCTCTCTACAATAAGAACAAACGAACGAATGATATACTTCCGACAACAAAAGACTATTCTACAATAAATCCTTTGACAACGTACAAGAATTCGGATAAAACAAGAAATCAGAGTCATATTTTCCACCTTCTCAGCCACGGCATCTGTGTTCCCAGCACGCCAAGTTGCAATGCCATCACCTGTGACATCAAAGAGGTTCAACCAAGGAATCGGACCGTTGTTTCCAAATATGTCAATGGCAATTTCTGGGTCCAGAAAGCGTAGAGATCTAGAGGTAACTCCAGCCCTTTAATATATTCGCTTAGCGTTTTCCCCATCAAGAAACCGGCACTTAGAAACATTTAACAATAACCAGACGAATCTTTCCCACACGCCAAATCAAATACTGATCAAGGGATAGAGGGAAGTATAGCAAGAGAGGCGGTCATTACTCCATACACACCTAAGTTATAAAAATATTATTCTACAGACCTTATACAACTAAAACAATTATTCGAATAATTTAGAATAATTGTTACTTTTTACCTCTTATTAACCTAGGTGAAATAAGATAATTGAGTTACTTATATACTAGAATCCTAGTATAATAAATTTCAATAGTGTGCACAGAGTAATAACCAGGTTTCTTACGGTGGATGTCCCTGTCATACTGATTGATGACATAGATGGTGTTTGTAATGTCACCATAAGCCTGCCCGGGTAATTTAGGGTATACTAGAAAGGGAGAACAAGTTCTCCATGTCATGTTTATGTGACTCGTTAATTACGAATAGAGTCAATCTACTGAATTGTTACTCTAAAACCATGGCTATGTTTCGTTTTCATTTTCATTGGGAATCCAAGATACAATTTATAGTTACTACCCCTTTCCACCAATATACGTACCTTACAACCGCACTCCCTGCTCAAAGGCAAGAATACCAGTAACATAGAAGTACGAATACAATATTCCTAAGTATATATTATCACTGCAAGTACTACTACCACTACCACCCAAGTAATTCATCCCATCAATTTCCCTCTCACGCTTAGAACTACTCCTAGACTCAACCCACGTCCATGCATCCCAGGTATCTCAGTATCTAGTCCAACATACCGTACACAACACAAGCCTCACCTCAATTCCAAAGCCAGTATAACCACCTCCCCCACCCCACGCCAAAATCAGAGTACACACGGCACCCCATACTGAAAGAGAATACGTGCCGGAGGTCTTACATCACCTATACTATCCCTTAGCCACGTCAAAGAACCATCAAAGAGTACATAACTAAGAAGAGGAACACTCGCTGCCCAAGAAGAAAGATCAAAGCGATACTTCCAACACCAAAACAAACGAATTACATGACTTCGACAGTGAAAGAGTATCCGACAATAGATCCTCTCTAAAAAACCATAATCAGTCAATCACGCACCACATAGTACATGCGGTATCCACCAACTAAGAAAGACCGCTTGCTTAAACTTGAGCTGAGCGTCAAGAAGTAAGTGATGCAGGCTAGAGGGAGGATGATCTTGCATGGCTGCGGCAGCGGTTCCGATTGTCTGGCGGCGACCACCAATGTTTCTATGCCTACAAACCCTTTGCACGAGTTTTCCTGTTATAATAACTCGCCACAATAAGCACAGTTCTTAGTGCCTCGTCATGTCAAGAACTGTATAAATGTCAGTGCTCCATTCAAACATACATACTTCTTGTTCGATTTCAAATAGGATAAGATAAGTCAACCCTCTACCCAACCTTTATCTTTCCCACAGACCAATCGCGAAATAGCCGAACATCCGAACTCTCCCACATCACGACACCAAGGAAAGACGTGCAACATCTTAGATACTTCATCCCTCTCTCCCTCCTCCCTGAATGATAGTATCATAGTACAGATAGTATTTATCCCATCCAAAGTATCATGCCCCCACATAAAGAAGAAAAAAAACATCCGCCTGAGACATCACCAAACAAAATAACCCAATCTTTACTACATCCCTTCCTTCCCTTCCCCCTCCCCTCTCCTTCCTTCCTCTCTAAAATATTGGATAGTATATTACACATCAAATACTATACACAAACACATTGTCCCTTCATTTTCTCTACAACAACCAAAAACATGCACCGCATGTACACCAATTCCCCATCTCCATCTCCATCTCCACCTACAACCTTCCTTCCAGGTCCTGTAATCTATACACCCAATCTATATACCCATCCATCCCATCCCATCCCATCCCATCCCAAAAATCCCATCTTTACAGACCCCCCGCAGCAATACACCCAAACCCAACAATCCAAGAAGAAAAAACCCCCGCATTTCTTTGATCTATTAGTGGCATTTTCCCAACCCCCTCCTCCCCATACCATACCACCGGACCCGAAACCCAAGAAAAGAGATCCAGAGAAATTGTCGCATTGGAGAGAAGGTCGCTTTTGGAAAGAAATTCGTTCCGGGGAACCCAAAATCTTGTACCTCCCGTTACTTTATAGAATTTTTCACCACCCACCCACGGTAAGAGCGCCTAGCAGAATAGAAAGAAAGAACACAAATAAACACCAAAGCAAAGAGAAGACCATAAAATGCCGACTAAAAAGAAGAGACGGAGAAGAAGAATCCATTTTGTTTTCGTCCCCATTTTCTTCTCTGTACCAAATCTCGCTTTTCCATTTTCCATGCCCAAAAAGGAAAAAGGGATGTTGTATGAATAGTGTGGCACTCTGCATACAAAAAGCTCAACCAACACCCAAACAAAAATAAGAGAGGCGCTATGTGTCCATCCCCTTCAAGCCCATTGCCAAAGAAAGGGACCACAACCAATGATTCCTCTGATGCAAAAAAGAGGGCGAAGGGGGAAAGAAGGGGGCTAAATGAAAACACGTCTGTCTGTGTATGTCTATCTGATAACAAAAGAAAAAGTGAGTGAGTGCGAAGGGGTGAAAATAAGAAGAAAAGAAAATGTAACAAGGGGGGTATCCGCATAGTATTCCTCTTCCGTAACCCAGGCAACCACAACCACATCCCCATCCCTTCTCCCTGATCCATGAAAAACTCCAAAAATGTTCCGAACCCCGTGATTTTTTTGGGGCATGCAACATGTACTGTGTGATCCTGCACTTCCTCGAAGGAAAAGAAAGAAGAAAAAAGGAAAAGCTGTCTATAATCGACCCATTGGCGCTCCAAAGTTGAGACTGGGTTTTATTCGTAGTCGTGGCCCATCGTCTTTCTCAGCTAGGTACTCTTCATCGTGACTAATTTCTCGTGAGCGAGTGGTGCTTGATAGACTGACTCCAGACTCGGAAGGGCTTACATTTCCGCTCTTGGAAGCCGCTTCCAGTTTGGAGTCGAGCTGGGCTAGGAAATAATCATCTGCTGCTGTTCCGTTGGTGAGTGTCAGGGGACCTGTCAATTCTCTGTCTCCATTGTCCTCCTCTGGATCGCCCGCCCCATCATCCCCGAAGGTAGTACTTGCAAGACGGTGAGCTTCGGAATGTTGTCCTTGAGTCGGCGTCGCAGCTTCACTTACTTCGCGAACACCTGCTAAATCTTCGAACTTGGAGATGGAATGAGAAGGTGTGTGACCTGCATGCATCTTTAATCTCATGTTCTCAGGTTGGCCTGCAATCTGAAGGGTCATCTTTGCTTTTTCTTCAGAACTGAGGCTCTTTCGGTGGGGTGGGCTTTCGCCAGCTTTCTCTTGTCTGGGTGGATTGAGATTGGGAGATACGGTTGCAGGTGAGCGACCTGGGCTCAATATTTTGGCGACCAAGACAGGATTGACAGCTGAGGCTTTGATGGAGACACCTTCCAACTCAGGTTGAATGTATGAAATGTCAATTGACTCGTAATGTGATTCGGGTCTGGTGTTAGGTTCGTGACCGTGAAGCGGTGACTGAACCCCGAAATCCGAGGATCGCAGCTCTTTATGGGCCACACGAATCACATCTTCGCTCGAACTGATCATCGAATCAATTCGCTCCTCGGATGTTGTGCTGAATGACCGACTAGGATTTCTTGGGGCTGGGGCATAGAAGGGCGTGCCATCCGCGTTTCTTCCAGACTCCTGTGGAATTCCCCGAGAACTGCTTTCTCCACTTCCGACCGGCGGTGCTTTCGTTGATGGGCTGGTAGATGTTGGCGATTTGGACGAAGATTGTTGTTCCCGGGATTGATGTGTGATATTTTCGGTGCTATTTTCTGCGGCGGCCGTCTCCAATTGCTTGATTCTCGCCTTCAATATGGCGATTTCTTGTTCATAGAGCTGCCTCTCCTCTGCCATGACCTCATCTGCGCGTGCTCTATCCGCAATCATATGCGCCTTCTCGCCATCGAACTGTGATCGGATCTTCTGTGTGTATGCTCTCCAATCTTCGACCAATGCTGCGACACTGTTGTCTGCACTTGCGCTTCTCGTCTTTGGGGGAGAGATTGGCGCGCCGCGCTGACCTTGCGAGGGGGATCGAGATTTTTCCATGATGGGACGGGGACTCAAAGAGTTCAGAGAAGAATGGGAATGGGAACGGGAATGGGTGGAATGGGTGGAATGGGACGAAGGGATGTATGTGGTTTCGGGGATACTGCGTGGGGTATAGAAAGCCTGAACTCCGGTGGAGAGGAAGGAATCGAATTGCTTTTTGGACATGATGAAGACGGGTCCACCACCAACGATCAGCGGAAGGTGCGATGTTGAGGATACGGGGAGAGGGAAGGAGCCAGTGTGGAGTGAGAGTGAGAGTGAGAGTGAGAGTGAGAGTGAGAGTGAGAGTGAGAGTGAGAGTGAGAGTGAGAGTGGCAGCGGCAGCGGCAGCGACAGCAACGATGAAGTGAACGTGAACGTGAATGTGAACGTGAAAGCCGTGGTCAAGTAGGGACGAAGGTTCTTTCCAAGGCTCTTAGGCTGGAGTATGTTGCTGCGATGACGATGGTGCGCCGGCACCTGTCGGATGAGCGCGTTTGGCAGCAATTGGCGGGGTGGTGGGATAGTGGGATGCTGGGATGGTGGGATGGATGCGATGGAGTAACGGTCCACAATGGGCAGACGGGCAATTATTTATGAGGCATCTTGTTTTTTCGCTATCTCTTTTTTTCTCTAGTGTAGTGTAGTGTTGCTATGTTGATGTGCTGTCAAAACACTTTAACCCAAGAGCTGAGAGAGCCACCTGCAACCACCTAAATCGGACGGTTTTGTTACAGGAGAAATGGCTCGGCCCGTACTTCAGCAAGGATGCTCCGATCGTGGGGGTTCCATCCATCAGGCGTAGGTAAGCCCGTAAGCCTGTAACATGACTGGGCAGTACCACCGGTACTCAAACAATTACTAATCAACTACACAGGTTCTAAGTCTGTACCCCCTCTTTCCCATTCTACCCCCTTCTCCTATTCACTTTGGCCCATCTCTCCTCTCTTCTATATTTCTCCTGTCTATCATCCACGCGGTACTCGCGGGTACCTTCACCGTCTCGCTCGCAGCCCGACTCCAATCTATCAGAGATTGGGATAAGCGTACGTTGGCCCGCTCTGAGGGTACCGGGCGAATGGTTCGTCTACGTCTGACAAGCCCCCAAAAGAGCCAAAATTGTGGTGCTGGACGTACCGTGGGAGCAATCACCATTTTCCCCGGAGCGACTGACGTGGCCGCAACCTCGCGGCCTCGGTTCGTTAGGCCTCGCTGCCTCGTCTGGGTCCTCCAGTTTCTGCCACAGGTTACATCGCATTTATATGTGAATCCGTGGCTTCGTAGGACTGCTTTGCGGCCATGAAATCGTGGGTCCAAAGATCCGCCGGCAGTGGGCAGTCAAGAGACGTGGTACGCTTGAATCTAAGAGGATGTCGTCCATGTGGGGTTGAGGTGGGTTCAACACCATAACCACGTAGGCCATGAAGGTCGTACGCCGTCTCAATAACCAATTCTGCATCACTCAGGCTCAGGCTCAACACCATCCAAAACAGAAGCCTCATCTCACGATAATGGCATTGATCATCATTTGGGCGACAACAGCGGCAATGGCGGCATCGTCCATTCATTTCTCCCCCAAGAGTTCTCCCTCTAGAGGCAGAATAAAAGGACTTGAGTAGTGACTCACTTCTTTCTTGCTCGTGTCTGTCTTCACTCCAAACAACCCCCCCTCGTATTTCTCCATGCACACTGCCAATTTCTTTGACGATCTTGGGATTCTCTTATTTCTTCGCCCTCTCAATCGTCTTGCACGTCTCGACATGTTGAACACCATTGACGACCTGGGAGTCCTTTTTGTTTGCAAGCCCCTTAGAGGTTTGCATCGCTTAGCCGAGCTCATCATTGGCGAGGAAGAGCATCAACGAAGACGAAGGGCTCGGCAGGTGAAGAGGTTGCAAGCGAGGACCCGAAAGGAAAAGGCTTTGCCGCCTATTTACATTGACCATTCGTGGCCACCACTTGACATGGAGAAGAAAAGTCCACGTTTCACGATACTGGGCAGATGAGCGTTGACTTTTCCTTTGCTTTTATCTTTTGGTGGATCTTGGCGGCTTGATCTTAGGAGCGATGAAGGTGCTACATTTTTCTTTACTATTGTTGTTGGAGGGGTGTATGGCGTTGAGTAGCTAGTAGTGCTGCTTTCTCATGAGATTGTGACCATTTGATTCCGAGAATGAGTACTCACATTCATGAATCTAGGCCCGATACGATACGCATCAGCTTTCGAGAATGTTCAGAAATAACGGTAGCGGATGGGATGGCTGTCAGGAAGACATTGGATATGTCGAAGGGCAGTGCCGTGGCAGAGAGAAAGTCACAAAGGCCGACGGAGAGCATGAAGGTCGACACAAGGTCCCGATATATACGACGTCAACGAGATGGATTCAATATACAACACATCACACGACAGAGCGACACGTGCAACCTAACTGTAGGGGAAGAAGCAGAGCATGACGGGAGGCCAGGCCCTTCGGAGATTTCTCTACGTCGAATCGAATGTTCTCCTTCGCGGAGATCATGAATACGGCGATACATCCTGGGGTACCCTTTTTTCCCCGACGAACAATACGACCTCAGCAAAACGGAGGAACCACGATTCCTACCTTTCAAAGCACACGACTCTTCAGTATCTTCCATTTCTCGCCCCAGTCACACCGCACTCATCCCATTCCATTAGATATCGTGATATTTTATTTCCATTTGTCAGAAATGTATCAATTTCCCGCGTTCAAATATCATCCTGTGTCTACCAATGCCGTGAACGGTTACCTCATTTCTCGTCTAAATTGACGAATACCAGTATTTCGATTGAATGCTTCCGGTTCATTATCTGTGTCTACTATACTAGTCACGGTTTTAATGACCAAATAACTTTCAATTTAGATACTGTCTGCCCCGATCCCCCGATGGGCTTGATTAGTGCTATGGCGCATCTCAACTCTTGCCTCCAAAGAAGTTCCTTAGCAAAGCAGAAACCAAACCCAACTACCAACCTTAATCACCAATACAGTACTCCGTGTTCGATTACACAGCTAAAATTGGACGCCAAAGCTGTAAAGATCTTTTGAACATGGGGTTCGAACCTTAGACCCTTGCCGAAGCCGACTTGGGCGAGGATCTACACTTTTGAATTTTGGCCCCAGAGACCCCATCCCAATAAGCATTGATTACCACGGGACAAGTTACACAAAAAATATTTTCGAGTGGAATCGCATAAAAATAAATGCCAGATAGGGATACGTGAAACTGCAGCAAAAGAAAACAGCTGTACTCGTAAAACACCTCTAGTCGTGAAAACCAATCGAGTACGTAAAGTTTGAAGGGACCGTGCAGAGAAAGCTTTATTGAGGATTAGGCCATGAATTCTCCGTAAATAGGACCTAGTCTGGTATCAAACCCTTCCCTTGGAAATATAATATATACATATACACTTCCCCTGGTGCGAGAGCTGTACTCGAATACTTGTACCGTACCCGTACCCGCTGCACCTGCCGGCAAGAAAATCCCCATCCCCATCGCCATCCCCATTCTGCTCGTCCATCGCCATCGATACCCACCTTGACGAAGCTAATCAGGTCGGACGGATCTAGATTTGCTTTAGATTGAGTGTTAGTACCAGTACTTCCGGACCAGCGCTAACCCTTCGCCCTCGCGAATTGGTTCCAATTGCAACCTCTGGCCTTCCCATCCATTCGACGCCATGAGAACAGCAGCTTGAACATCACCATCCAGAGTTGAACTTGCATCGACGAATACAACGTGGCACAGTCGCACTTTTCCTCAAGCCAATCATCCCGCCTCACTAGCACCAAACCCCGTTAGCGTACATACAGCTACAACGCAGCAAAAAATGCCAGGCTCCGGCTCTGGCTCAGGCTCAGGCTCAGGCTCAGAGTCCGCATCAGACTCGTCGCCCGTGGAGATTTCTGAGCACCCGCGAGAGGTCGAAGAAGACACGAAAGAAGGCATCAGGGACCCGTCGGCGGTCACGAGCAAGAGTGGAAACGACGCAGGAGCAGGGAATGATCAATTGCAAACGCCCACCTCCTTCCACACCTTCAAGCTAATGCCAATGGCACACACCAGCACCGCCGTCGCTCCATCACCCACAACACCTGCGAACCCAAACACGACCGCGCATCCAGCTTCACATCCCACGAGTGCTACAGCCAACATGGGCATTCAGGCACAGGGCAAGCAGAATCATGAGGGGACCGCAACGCCTACCTCTGAGTCGCGGATGAACCCTCCCCCTCGCCCTCCAATGGCCACGCCCGTCCGGGAGATGCGTGAAGGCTCACATGTTTCTGGCGGCAGCGCGCGCAAGCCCCGACAGAATCTGGATGAGAAGGACCATATTGCGATGCTCAAGGCCTGCTATGAGCAGAAACACAATTTCAAGGAGGGCACGAAGGCCCAATTCTGGACGGGGGTCAACCAAGCATTCTCCAATGAGACCGGAAAGGTCCTCGCACAGATGAGCGCGACAGTGGGAAGACTGGTTGAGAACCGCAGAAGGGCACTCTCAGATTGGGAGAACGGGGTTAATCCAAACAAGCCTGGCGGAGAATTGAATGACAGGCTGGATCAATGGATTGAATTCTTGAAAGTCGAGGACGCCGACGCAGAGGCGGAAAGAATGAGGCAAGTGGATGCTAGGAGAAAAATTGAAGAGGAACGAAAGGAGGCCAGGAGACAAGCAATTGCTGCAGAATCATTGGCGCAAGCTCAGAATCCCGGTGTGCGGATAGTTACAGGTCCTGCCCCTCCTGCGCCAATACAACAAGTCCAGCAAATTCCAAACCCACAGCACCAAGTCCCCCCGCCACACTCTCAGCCTCCCCAGCAATATCAGCAGCACCACCCGATGCCGCACCAACCTCAACATTCAATTCAACAAGGCCCTCCACCACATGGAGGAGAGATGGTACCACACCAGCAATCCAATGGGCAACCTGATATCAATGGTTATCGCTCAGCAAAGAGAAGACGTATGAATGAACGAGCGCTCACTCAAGAATTGCAGCAGCAGATCCAGCATGAACAATGGCAACAGAACCCACCTGTTCAACAAGTGCAACAATACCCAGTCGGCCCAGTCGCGCATCCTCCCGAACCTCCTAGACGAGTTGTAGTAGAAGGAGCCATGACAAAAGAAGACTGGAGAGAAGTAATGGGCAACGACGCGCGCCTGCGAGCTCTCGAAACGAAAGTCGATCGCATCGAACTCCTTCTCAACCAGAACAACAAACTCCTTTTACAATTGGTCCAAAATCAGAATAGCAAGGATCGAGATCGTCACCATGAAGAGGAAAGGGTTCCAGTGCATTTGGATGCTGAATTTGAGCGGGATTACTTGTGAGCCAATACCCCACAAAGAAACCTTTGAGATGAGAGCGAAATACTGAGATTCATGTTTTCTTAAGATCGGGTGCTTATGCGAAGACGCCTCGACCGGTTCCTTGACGTGGCTCCTTTTCATGCCCGGAATTTGCTATCATATATGATATGATTCCTTTCGCTTGACATCCGTCTTCTCATCGGCCGTCTGTTTTATTAAGCGCTATATCAACTCTCAAAATTTCTTGCGTCGTCCTTGGTATTTCGCGACATCATACATAACACTTGTGCATTAATATCTTTCGTTGGCTCTTTTTGTCCCTTCTATCTGGATCTGAACTGGATTTAGAGCTGGCTCGGTCTCTTTTCTTGGGCACAGTGAGTTACTCCTCTCTTCTCTCTTTTTACTCTCCCTTTATATATACTAACATTGAATGTAATAGATAAAATAGTTTTTTCACTGTTTCTGCATGGAGATGTGCATATGTATCACTGGCTTCCTTGCATTCATCATAGAGTTTTGGGCGAAAATCTGGGTTTTTTTTTTTTCGTTGGGTGTGAGGTGATGGCGGCGAATGGAGTGTTAATGGGGAAATGGAAAACAATTGCAGGGAGGGTGCTAGGCTTGTAGGGAAATTAGGTGGCAGGAGGAATATAAGATGAATGTGTGTTGCGCGTTGTCTTTGTATGAATATGTTGCAATGGATGGGATGGATCGGTGGATGGATGGGTTTTGTTATATATTTAGTTATATAATTATTTACAAGTTTTCCTTTTATTTTGATATACGTCACTCACTGAAAATTAATCTCTTCACATATTGAGATACCGGAGTAAGTCGGTACAGGCAGCAAGCATGAAAGTACCGTACTACATTTCTTCCATCCAGTATCGCGCTCTCCCGTACCCTGCTTGAAGCTCACTATACCGTCTTTTCCGGAAACAAGCTCAACATCTTGTATAGTGAAAGTAAAACGCTCTACTCCTTCATCTGAACAACGCACGTTTTGTGCACGCCTTCTCTGGAGATCCCAACTCCACGCGAAAGTCCAGTCCAGACTCAAGCTGCGCTTGGGGTCTACCGTCTACTCGTACTGTAGGTACGAGGTCATCGCCACCACGCACCGTACTCGTAGATTCCCCCCCCCCCGGGAACTCGGTGAAGATCTTGTTATTTTGGAGGTAAAATGGACTAGGGCTTCATCTCATCTGAGTTACACACGTTTTGTACTAGTACATGATCTATTTTGTGGAGTGCTGACTTGGAGGGTAGGCGAAGGCGAAGTCGCAAGCTTGGGAGTGTACGTACGTGCTTTTGGAAACTTGGTGGAGATCTTGTATTTTGCGAGGTAAAACGGACTAGGGCTTCATTCCCGTCTGAATTACACACGTTTTGTAGATAGTTTTTTTTTTGCGGAAACGATGGGCGGGTCTTATATGTTGCGAGGTAAAACGGACTAGGGCTTCATCTGAATTACACACGTTTTGTACACGTTTTTTTTTTTGCGTCTGGATCCTTACAGGAATACCGTACCGAGGGGGACACGGTTGTTTTGGAAACTCAAAGGAAGTCTTGATGGGTTTGCTTTGTCTTCTTCGCCTATTGTCTTTTTTGTGTTTTTGGGAGAGGTCGGATAGATACCAGTAGGGGCGTTGGGTGGACGTCAGATACGAAGCAATACGAGGGGGTCGCATTCTTAGAGGTTCTTGCTCTTCTGACAGCTTCATGCGAGTGGGTGCTAGAATAGTTACGTAAATACTTGGATGCTTTTCGCATGAGAGGGCGAAACTGGTGTTCCGTGCGCTCGCAACGTGAGGGTGATGCAAGACTGTAGCGAGGGAGGAATTGGGCATCAATGTTCTCTCCTTCTTCCTTTTTTTTTGGGGGAAGAGGGCCTACGACTAGTTGCGGTTTTATGGAACCTCCAAGTTGAAGGTTGGTTTGGTGGTCCCCGGGCCGGGAGAGGTGCCCCCCCTCCCCCTCCTTTGACAGCTTCCATAAACTAACCTTCTTTCTGGGTTTTTTGGGATTTATGATGTCGACCATCCACTGGTGGCGAGGGTGGCGTGCTGTGCCGTACCGTGTGTTGGCCAAACGAGATGAAAGGATATATAGAGTTGCTGGTTGATGTTTGTTGAGTGGCGAGGGGTTTTTAGTGGCGTGTGTGTGGTGTGTGTGTGGACTTGGGGCGAAGAGAACAGGAAGGTTTGGTGTCTGAACTTGGGAGGTTCGGGTGGTGGAGGTGGGATGCGAACGAGTACTGTAGAAAGAAATAGGCGAGGTTTGGTGGGTGGATGGACTGGTTTTCGCTAAGGGTATGGGTTTATCCAGACGCAGTGGTGTCCGGCTCCCCTTCTCTGACCTATGGGATTGGGAAAGGTTAGGGTGGTTCGCTTCTGGTTTTATGTAGCAGATGGGAATAAGCATGGATGATGAGTTATGGTAATGAGATCTTTAGTTGGGTGGAGGTTAGGTTAGAAAATCTGGTTGTGAGATTTCATATACTATTTTCTCGATTCCTGGGGATTGGATATATGAGATATAGACATGATGATATGAAATTGGAAAGTGCTCCTTTATAGTGATGAGGGGTCTAGGAGGCGTGAGGTTTAGATTTTAAGAAGTCTACAAAATGTTTGATTGAGATGAAAGATGTTGTAAAGATCTGTAATGGGCAGGTTGCAATATAACTTCTAGATGGAACAAGCAAGGCTTGAGATTATATACTCTAAGAATCTTACAAAGATTTTCATTAAGATAAAAGAATCAGAAAGATATTGCAAATATTAAAGATGGGCAGGTTCAATTAAACTTCCAGGTAAAATAAGCGAGGCTTGGCATGTTGAAATGAATTTACAACTAACTCTGCGAATGTTTATCCACACGTACTGCCATGAGGGCAGATGTCTAGTCGCTTCCCATCATCATCTGCAAGCTCTTCTTATAATCACTCGTCCCATTATTGGGATCTCGATCTGTAGCCTTGCAACTACTATACTGCTTTCCATTCCCATGTGCGCCATCGATTCTCATGAAAGTTTGTCCTTTCGCTTTCAGCATATTCTTAGCAGCATCTTCATACCATCCGTTAATAAAGTCGCCATGGAAGCAATAACCATCACCAATCTACCAGCAAAGTCAACATATTTAATACCCACAATATAATAGTGTGATCGGTGCAAAACTCACCTCACCACAAGCAAGCTTAAAAGGCGGCACACCTTTCCACCCTTGTGGGATTGTCTTCTTAGTATCATACCTCACACTAAACCTCAAACTCGGCATCCTCTTCATGCCAGTCGGACAACTTCCCCCATTCTCAGCCGCATAAGCATACCTCTTGACATCCTTCACATCCACACAATCGGGGAATCTCAAAATGACCTGCATATGCGCCGTACAAGTCACTCTCGGAAACGTAGCTCTAGGTCTAGAACTGCGATCTTCCGGTCCGGCATCGCACCACCATGTTAGAGCGTTGACTTTCTCGTTGATATCAGATTGCGATTTTGCCGATGCGTTCCCGGCGATGGCAGCGAAGTTGGGTGGGAAGGCAATCTCGGCATGGTCGATTTGTTCGTAGTAGGTTTTGAATGTTGCGGGGTAGATTTCTGTGTATATTTCTCCGTTCACGTAGTAGAGTGTTGGGGCCCCTATGTCGCGTCTTAGTTTTGAAGTGTGAAAGGAGGTAGGTTGGAATACAATATATTGAGAGATCATTGGGGTTCTCGCCTGACGGACAGCCTTTTTGTAGCTCGGCGGTTGTGGGGAGGTCCTTGGTTATTGTGTCGGAGCCGTAGAAGGAGTGCATGTGCGATTTGTATTTTCCTGGGAAGACTAAAGGGTCGATGTTCTTGCGCATGAAGGGTTTGTGTTCGATGTCTGTCAAGGCCACTGCGGTTCCTACTAGGAAGAATAGCGTGGAGAAGTGCATTTTGGGCTTCGAGGGGAGCGACTGCGGCTGTTACCATTTAGTAGAGGGTTTTCAAATATGCTATGAGATTGAGATTTAGAAATGAACGAAATGTTTTATGTGGGTCTCATATATATCTATTCTGTAGAATGTGGGGAATCTTGATTCTTGAGTTCAACTGCCGATTTTAATATTTGCCTATGTTGGTAATTTAAGCGGGAATTCTTCGCAACTCCGCCATATCACGGATGTATAAACTTGCATGAATTGGCATGAGAATACCAAAAATCATCCTGGAAAGTGGTACGTTCTCCACCAAAGAGAACGTATCTTGATAAATAGCTTTATCGCATGGAGTTGATGAAGTGACCTATAGGGGTTTTGCCGAGCGAGCTAACTCGCTCAGTGGGTGGGAATCAAACACTGGTTATCCCAGGCCGTCCGTTTAGGCTTCCTATGCTCTATTGGATTGGTAATATTCGAAATTCTTGCATATCATCTCGCTTGCTTTCTAATCACTCGAAAGTGTCAATGGGTATGCTGGGCCTTTTGAGCTTGCATAAAATCATGTTTTGTGTACAATGACTGTTTTCTTTTAGAGAAAAGTAGAAAGACTTCTGGTATTGTTTTCGCTTCTATATACAAGCAAAAACAACCTTCCATGCATTAACAATCTCACAATACTATTATGCCATAACCTTCCAATGCCCCGATCATCTCGATGGCTTCTTAACCATTTCTATGACCATCATGAAAGGCGATGGTATGACCGTCATGCTCACAATATCGTAGTTTCCAAATAATTTTGGGTTGCGGCCTACCGCTACAGAAGACCTAGGAGTTAGCGTTGCTATTCAAAATAAAAAAGCTACAAAAAAAGGTGAAAAGAGCTCAAAAGAGGAGGATCGACTGGGCATTACCTACTATTGAGCCATGAATAGTTGTTATCATTACCACAGAGGAGTTTAAACATTTCATCCTCAACACCAGGTGCGTCCTTCCTCAAAACAGTTGCATCCCTCACATCACCAGATTCCCCTTCATTCACCCCCATAGCACTTCGAGCCGCAAGGATATCCCTCCGGGTCTCAAAGTTTTCTATATCCTCCGATATCAAGAAGAACCTTTCAGGTTTTATGTTCTTGAGATATCTGGTTTCCTGTTGGATCAATGATTAGTACACAGCACCTGGCACTTTGATAGAGAAAGAGATATGGATGTTACCTTGATCCCGTAATACAGGAGTTGAGATACTGGAATAGCTCTTGTTAAGTCGCTTCCATCTTGTACCGGAAGAAACTCGTCGTCTTCAGTCATTATGTTTTCACCCTTCTCGTCAACTTGATAGCGGTTTGCATCGTTGGTTGCAAAACGCGCATGGGTAACAATAGCAGCATAATATTTGCCATCCTTTGTGGCTGTTGCAATGCTAAAGTCAACGACAGCATTAAATAAACGGCGTGTGGAGTGGATCCATAAACGTTGCCAACCACCTTCCATGGGAAATCCGTATTTGCCGAAAAACTCCATTTCAACAAGGCCTTTGAAAAGACCACCGTGCTCAAGTGACTCTTGTAGGGTCAATTTCGTGACATAGTAATATTTGTATAGTCTTATGGTATAGTCTCTGCTTTGCACTGGGCTAGCGACAAGTTGGAGGGCTCTTATTCCACGAAGTGTTAACTCCTCAGGACTTCTGACCCCTTCTGGTGGTTCTTCCTCTGCTCCGGAGCAGTGGCGTTTGCACGTCGAAGGAACTTTACCTCTGCGTACTATTCTGGTACTGTGAAGATATTCGTGGTCTCTAGTATGAAAAGGTAAAGTTTCTTTGTGCTGCGTGTCTCTGCTTCTAGCTGGTATGGCTTGAGCATGGTTGCCATTGTATACTGCCACATAGATTAGACTGGTTCAATGGCTCAATTACTGGGTGCGAAAGCTTTCTCACCATCAGTCTCAAAGCCCGAAAGAGCTCTGCAGAAGGCCCTGGGTACGCCGCCAATTGCAGCTAACCCGAGAAGAAAATACTCCCTGTTCAAAAGCATTTTCAAGAATGAAGAAGCACGAAAGTGAAGGCCGGAGAATAAGAGTCCTGCTTTCAGCATCTTCCATCCCAGTCCCTGTAAAATCTGGTTTTCCCAAAGATCTAATTCGGTTTGATACTAGGGCTTTCATTAATCAAACAGAATTACCTTGAACTCTAATAAAAAACCTGACAAAGCAATGACATCGTAATCTGGTCAATTCATATAGAGCCAATGCTTGTATTTCAGATTACCATGCGACAATACCTACATACGAGGATCATACTATACCCCCCCTTTCAAAACAAAGGTTACTCGTGCAAGGGGGTACACGTAGTGTTTTGTGGGGGAGGCAGTGTAAATTCTAATTTCCACCAATAAAACTGTTTGTAATTGAGTTTATTTGGTGTACTAACTACCGATATTATAGCTTAATATTAATTGGCTAGAATAGAATTTACTAGGGGCTATAAAATAACTCCAAACTACACGAGATACCCCTTCTTTTAGGTAGGGGGGGGGTAGTAACATCTCCTTTATTTGCTTTTCATCTTGTTTTCTGGAGTATATGTAAACAAGTTTTCAGATGATTCAGTGAGCTAAGTTTGTCGTGTTGTGGTTGTAGCCATACACAGAATTAAGTACTATAATCCTGAATTGGATTAGCTTATTTTAACAGCAATTTGCCCGAGGAGCAGAACTCTCTGAAGGGGATCGGTTGGAAACAACCAATCCAATTAATTCCCATTAGGCTGCCTCCACAACTAAACTACCTCACATCACTACGACTACCTCTGCTTACACCTATTTGGACACAACTGCATACTTTTTGAAAGAAATCAAGCATTACTTTGACGTTGCAGGTGCTCTTTTTCATACCTGTGGCTTGTTTACTACTGTGCTAATGTCGCGGGGTAAACCATGTAGGGACTAACATTAAATATTGTTCTCGAAGGAGGCTGGGTCTCTTCTAAGTACTTCCCTGCACCCAATAAAATTGACTTCTCTTACTTCCGACCTACCCGTATTTTATTTCAACCTTTCTGTTTTTTTCACGCCCTAGAGTGTGGAAGTAGTGGCACGGGACATTTCTATGTCGACATGCCTGCCACATCTTCCTTCCGCAGTAGCTTCTGTAAACAGACCGAGAGTCGATTGGTTTCCATAGAACATGTCATAGGTATACAGTAGAGGGATGTATGTTGGGATTAAGTAATATCTTTCGCACTAAGATGGAACAATCCGGACTCTTTATTGGATAAAAGCAGACTAACTATTTCTAATCTTGATATAATTTATATATAAAGACACGTGAGTAAAGCGTGACGTAGGTGATAGAATCAAAAGTCCCCTAGGTCAAGGTTTGTAAGTCCGGAATTTAATAGTTCCGCTTCCGTTTAAATATATAAATATTCATGAGTGAGTCCACGAAACCTTTACTAAAAGTATATATGGAACGAACGCTGAACTATGAAAAATATACGATTCATTCATTTTAAGCTATTCTATAATACAGCACACAAACACCGGCCCGCAAAGATAGAGTGGCAAATAGGTGAAGTGATCTCGACGTTGCGTAACATTGCTTTATAGGAATCTATGTTTTGTAAAGCAGGTACTAGTTGGAGTATAAGTATGCCCTGAGCCGCCTCTAACTCTGGTCTTTCAAGCACTGTTACACGAACACCTACCCTGTTAGTTTTGTAGGATTTTGGGAAGAAGTGATTATTTTCTTCCCCCTAGCATTGGGAAATGGCACGTCACGAGTTCTGGTGTTGTGGATGCTTGAAGTTGTAGATTAAGATGTATTCACTGGCTATCAGCTCTTTGTAGTGAAGAGGCGATTCCAGGGATTGAGTTACAACCTGATATGTAGCAGTAATACAATTTGTGCTTGATACACTTTGTCTCAATAATTTGTTTAGTCCGTGTGCTAGCAGTGATTTCGGAGGCTCAAACGAGCAAGCACTAAAACAGAAATCTCTTCTTGCAGTAATTGGCAAATATTAAAAGTACTCGAGTAAAATAAAGAATTCTTCAATAGCAAACATACTTAGGATCGGATTCACTTGAAAGCTTATCCGAACCTTTACTGGATATCATTATGCGAGGGCAGAAGATTTCAGTGGTAAATCAAGTATGAGTTCAAACAGCATTGACCAGAATTCCAGCGTCTTAGAACATGATTGGCTTGGCTTATTTTCTGAGTTTCTTATGTGCCAAGGATGTGTGCCTTAATGATTTGATCCACCTTTTTTGCTTTTCGCTTGTGTACATGAACATCAATAAGTTGCTTTCCTTCTGCGTATGAATTGTTTCATAAGATCTCGTAAAGACATTGAGTTTCGCACCCTGATATAATGTTTTTAAGAATAAGATGTGAAAACAAAAAAACGCTACATCCTCTTTCCTTCAACAATAACTTAAAACAATAGTAAAAGACTCGCAACCAAACCACCCATGACAACCGAAGCTGGTCGTTTTGAAAGACTGCTTGTTGAGCTTGATACCTGAGCAAATGTTGATGATTGTGGGGATCCTGTCCCATTTGAAGGATTAGCCAAAGTCAGGGATGAGCTCAATGCCGATGTTGGAAGCGAAGCAGCAACTTGGGACGTGGCTTTGTCACATGGGAAATACTTGCTTGGATTCCAGTAATCGGAATTGTTGTAGCACCGGTAAGAACCAGATACGTACTTGCCCTCTGGTTGCCAGAGGCACTGAGGATGGTTGTACTCCCTTTGAATCCAGAAGGCAGTGGCGCCGTAAGCGTAAAACTCATTGTCTGGTCCGGAGATCCAACGATTACGTTTGGTGTTCCTGAGATAAACGTTGTTGAATATGGGGACTGAGCTGGGATGAGATGTGTGGTTGCTCTAGTATGAACCAGATATGTACTATGTTTGCTATCTCCTGGTACATCCACGACTCTTGTATCCCCCGAAAATCCAGAAGGTAAAGGCGCTGTGAGGGGAATATATATTGGCTGGTTTGCAATTCCTATGATCACGTTGGGGTTTTCTGAGATTATTGTCGTTGGATATGGTCCATGAGACGGAATGGGGATCGTTTTTGCACCTAATAGAACCAAATTGGTACTTGGCTCCCCGTCTACTGAAGCTAAATTAATGGCTTTGCTCCTCAAACTTTCCAGACTTGTGGAAGAAACTGAAGTAGTCAAAGGAAAAGTCTTGGCCCCTCCCGAGACACCTAAAATAATATTTGGGTTCTCGCTTATGACTGTTGTTGGCAGATGAGGTGGCAAGTCAGGCATCAGTGGCATTTTTCCGCCCTCGGGATTGGCAATGGGCTGTGCGTTTACAGTTCCAACAGGAGTTGCGACTGGAGATAGACCAATGAGTGAGGCAATCAATCCTTCTAGGCTTTTGTCTGCAGAAGCTGTCGTTGCTGACTGCGAAGTTTGAGTTTGTGAATCTTGACTCAAAGTCTGCTCTTGATTGGGAATCGGTCCTTGACCGGGGCTAGCATTTTGACTTGAGATCGGGTTTTGGTTCTGATCCTGCTGTTGAGTTTGTGCTGCAAGTTGATTTTTGAGGGGGACGGATTGTTGGCCTAATATCTTCAGGAACTACGGGCCTTTCTGACCCGTCAGCTGGGTGACTTTGTGTCGGAGCCGGCTTATTGAGTGAAGGGGTTTCATTGACCGAAGACGGAATGTTTATAGGAGGCTGTAAGGTGGATGTATGAGGTACAGTTCGAATACTTGGACTTGGAGCATCCGTTTTCAACGCTGGTGCTTCCAAGACAGAGGATAATATTGGAGAATCACTGGACGTAGATGTAGGCGTCACTGTAATTACAGTTGAACTCGTGAGATCTCCTCCAGCACCTAAACACCGTTTAGAAAAAAAAGCAGAATGATATTGGCTTTGAACGTACTTTGAGTTCCTGGACTGACGGAAGTGCATGTATCAGCCTTGACTACTCTTGGTCCTGCGGGTATGCAAGATGCAAGTTGTGTAAATTCACTTGCTGCAAAGTCAACAGCTTGCTGGGCAGGGTACCCGTAATTTTCGGCACCTGAAAGTTGCTCACATGGCGGGAAACACTTTAAAACTAGCTGTACGCTGGGATGTCCTCTTGCTGGGAAATGAATGTATGAAGTGGCAAGAGAAAGAACGGTTGCAGAGATCTGATTAACTTTTTCAGTAGAGAAGTATTCTTCTGCGTTTGAATTTACTGTAAACGTAGGCGCATCATATAGAGACGTGAATGCACCACCAGTGGAGACTGAAACCTTGTAATCTGTGTCGAAAGCGACTGTCGTCGTAAGAGTGGCAGTTTTAATAGCCGATAACAAACCTGAGCTACTGGTAGTATAGAGTGTCGCTGTCAGAGTTTTGGTATTCAAGATCGTTTTGGTCGGGATTGACGTATATGATTTGGAAAATCCGATTTATGAATTCGGTAAGCTTGAAATCGTGGCACATACCAAATTGCCTTTCTCATCCTTTACCGCCGGTACGTTTATAACTTTCAGTGTCGGGTACACGTTGAAAGCAGATGGTGAGTTGACGGTCACTCCTGCGGTGACAATTTGGCTTCCGTTTAACGACTTCCATGACTGGCTTACGCTATCACCTTCATTATAATACAGGGCTATGGGATTCTGCGCTACATCTTCACTATATGAGAAAGATGCGTTTCTGGTGTAAACATTCGTTGTGACAGAGGAGAATGTAGTTGTAGGGTATGGAGTGAAGTAAGTGGTGATCGAAGTCAAGTTGACTATGGAATATAATGTGATTGTAACATATTTTTTCCAGTAAATTTCGCTAACTGTATCTTGAACCACAAAACAACAACTCGACGCTGCAGAAGGTGCGCCAGTTATTGCTGGACTTGTGCTGTTGCGAAACCTAGCGGAAGCTGAATCAAAATAGTCAGCAACTAAAAATACCTTTAGGGCCGGGAGTAAAAGATACTGGATTGAACTTTGGCACCGAAGGCCAAAGACACGGACAAGAAGATAGAAAGAAATTTGAAGTTTGCCATGTCTAGAGTTAGTAGGTGTAAAGACTGAAATGTTTGAGAAATAAAGTCAGGCAACATGCGGCAAGCGTAAATAATTATTTCTTACTGGGAGTGATACTGTACGCCTGACGGAACCAGTTTCTGTTAAGGCTACAACACAAACGGCCATTTATTTCAAGTTGAACGTGCTATAATAATAGGGCAGCATAGCCTCTGCCCAGAAGGTTGTTAAATTGTTCAGCCTCGAAAACCCCCTAACTTGAAGTTTGTGTTTCCATTATTTCTGATTTTTCGCGTCTTCATTCACGTAGAGGATGTAAGCACACGGCGGAGTACTTGATTCATCCAATCACACTGGTACTGTACTGCCGTGCAAGCATCTAGCTAGACGAAACAAAATCTCGACCGGGTTGCTGTAGGTAGCTGTAGATCGAGCCCCCATGAAGAACCGTCAGCTGTTGCTGCAGGTGCTATTTCTGGCGTGATGCAACATGATCAGCAAAGTGGCTCATGGTGCGTCTGCAGGAGCCGCCCCAAAGGCTGCACCCGTCGTTTTCTTCCCCTGATCAATCCACGCCAGTTTCTTATTTTGTTCAGTTCTATGGGCTAGCCCCGCCCTTCCTATGTCCAGGGAACTACGGTACCTTTTCACCCACTTCAGATGGGGGTTTAGTCAAAACTCACTTCTGGTACTCGATATGATGTTCTTTCAGACATAGACCATCGCCAACTTTATACTATGTAAGGTCACAATCCACAAAAAATGCATCTGAATATTTTAACGACGATACTTATCGCACAGCAAATATCAACAAGCGAATGTGGAACAAATGTAAATAGTCTCCTGCAAGGAAACACACCTGCACCAATAGTTGTTCAACCAGCACAAAACTGTGACAATTCTCATCCTACTTTCTAAGATTAATACTAACTGTTTCATTTAGGTAATAATTACCTTACTTACTAATAGACTTTAGGTTTAAACCTTAGTCTGTTCTCGCTTATTCTAGAACGTTCGATCACGTGAACCGAAACATTCTAGTATCCCTTTCTATTTATAAGCACTTCTATTCTATTTATAATCTATAGAACCTCCTAGAATCTATCTAAGGAGTATATATAGACCTTGACTGTCCTTATAGTTAGAAAATTCAAGTCATTTTCACAAATCAAATTCTTACTCTTTTGATTCCCGATGTACCTAACAGTCATCTGACCATCCTACTTCCACTGTCTTATATACACTCTGTATATAACCGATACCTCTTACACTAACTTAAGTCTACGGGATGGAATTGACGGTTCTTGGAGTTCTTTTGCTTTTCAAGTTGGGACACCAGCGCAAACTGTACGGCTATTGGTGTCAACTGCCGTTCATCAGACTTCAGTTGTGTTTCCCCAAGGATTTATCGCGTCTGATCCACCAGATTGTGGTAATTTGCGGGGAGGCGAGTTTCAGATCAACTCATAAACCACTTAAATCAAAAACATTGCAAATCTCAGTACAAATATATATCCTCTCTCCATGGGTTCCAGACTTGGCTATGAGAGTAAAGCAGCCTTCGGGTTCGACGACATTACGATGGGATGGCAGGGAGCAGGAGGACCGTCTTTGAGGAACCAAACTCTTGGTGGAATTGCAACAAAAGACATATATCTAGGCTTGTTTGGATTGACTCCAAGATCGAGCAATTTCACAACATTCAATTCTCCAATTCCAGGATACATCCAAAATCTGAGAAACCAGTCATTTATTCCTTCTACCTCATGGGGTTATACGGCTGGAAACCAATATCGTTTCAACCGTGTATTGGGAAGTCTTACTCTTGTGGGTTACGATCGGTCAAGATTCGTTGCCAACGATGTATCGTTTTCGTTCAACGAAGAGGATATTAGAGACCTGACTGTTCAAATCGACGCAATTACAGTTAGCAGTAAGAATGGCGAAAAGGCACTTCTACCAAATACAATTCCTGCATTTTTGGATTTAAGTAAGTATTCCAATAACTGCTTTTCTTCATTCAATTTGATTCGAGTGAAATAAAGAATTGTTCCCTCCCGGAAAACAGTTTCTCTTTCTCTCTAATCTGTCTTGAACCCACGGGTATTTTCTAAAACCGTGGATGGATGCTGATGCGATCATTTTTGACAGGTTTACCGTATGTTTGGCTTCCAATGGAAGCCTGCGTGTTATTCGAAAAAGCCTTCAACTTGACTTGGGATGACACGACGGGGCTGTATCCACTTTCTGGCTCTCAACATGATGCGCTGCTAGCTGAAAGCGCCAATATCACGTTTACTCTAGGGAATTTGACAGAAGGTGTGGCTTTAAACATAACTCTTTCATACTCCCCCTTTGATCTTACAGTTCAACCACCACTCGTTAGCAACACTACTCGATACCTTCCCCTCAAAAGAGCCACAAACTACACACAATATACACTGGGACGAGTGTTCTTTCAAGAAGCATACGTGTATGCTGATTATGACCGCCTTAAATTCTCAGTCTCACAATGCAGATGGGCAGCGGATTCCCAACAAGATATTGTCCCTATTCTCGCCCCTTTGGAGAAAGCTATCGATAACGGCACTTTCAATGACACGGGTAACTCTGACAACAAATCGAAAGCAACCACTTCCATCGCTGCCATAGTAGGTGGAATAGTGGGGGCGATAGCTATTCTCGCAGCGATTGCCGCCTTCACATTCTTCCGTTTCAAGCGTCGACGTGATGCAGAAGCAGCCAAAGCATCTCAATTACCACCAAGTCAACCAGAAACTGATCCTAACAATTCCTTTACGTTTTTCAACCCGGAGCTTGACGGCTCACTATCAACATCACGCCTCGAATTGGATGCACATAAAGAGCAATGGAGCTATGAGGCAGCGAGTCGTCCCGTTCAACTCTACGAAATGCCATCCGAAGATGTTGCAGCTGAAATGAGGGGCGAAGGCCAAATGAGCGAGTTGAGAGGAGAAGGTTAGGTGAGTGAATTGAGGGGAGACCAGAGAGTATTTGAGATGGTTGGGAGTGGCGGAGAGCATGAGATGCAAGGAAGTCAACCAAAATCGAAACATTGCAGTAGGGTGCCAGCACCGAGCGAGCGGACTAAAGACTCTCAACAGGAACATAATACTAAATCCTCGCCTGTTAGATAGATCCATCTGGGTTTATTGCTGTATAGTCCTTAGAGTGTCACGGCGAGGTCGAACTTTGCTGGCAAAATACCCTGAAATTCGTGGTGTTGGAACTGTAAGCTGGTCGATAATCAACTCTTTGGTGAATGGGAGATAATGGCCTGTCAATGTTACTTATGTCTCATGTTATGTATAACGAATAATACCCAGCAAGATTTGTAAGCAGACGAGTCTTCCCTTTTCCCTGCACGCAGCACTGCCACTCATCTTCTCTTATTTCCCCTCATATTTCGTCTCCTAAGATACCAAAACTCTGTGTTTCTCCTCGCAAGATGAGTTACAGCCCCTACGATGTGTAATTTCTTAGCCTATGCCAAATGAGCGCATATAACTTCTTTAAATCTTGGGGGAGCTTCAGTGACGAACTGATCCGCTCAAAGGTGCATTCTCAGCATGGCTTCCTCTTGCCATCTGAACGGATTTCACCATGGTTCTTTCATTCTTGCAATATATTCTATTTTTCCTGTTCGTCGTAAAACGCCTTATTTGGCAGGTTGCTTCTGGCTAAATAGCTGATCAGTACTACCAGTATATTTTAGACTGACCTGGTGCCGTGATTGTGCGAATCGCGATAATACATTACCAGGATCTTGTGTTGCCGTGCACTCGCACCCGAGGATATTTCGTCGGTTACACGAACGGAATGTGTTTCTTAGTGGAAGGGTATTTTGTTGTTCCTGGAAGGTTCTCAAAAGTCCACATATAAGGATTGATTGGAAGGAAAGCTGGCAATCATTGAAGGACTTTTTGCAACAGTTTTGTTGGCGCCGGTTGAAAAAGGCACCCGCAGTACTGTAAGAGGCACAGTCATTACTCTGAAAATACCTATTTAGAATATCATTATCTAAAAGCCTCGCATAACTAAAACAATTATCCGAATATTTTAGAATAATCGTTGCCTCTGACTTCTTGTTAACCTAGATAAATTAGGACAAATAATTTACTTGTGCTAAACCCTTAGCATATTGAGTTTTGATAGTGGGTACAGAGTAATGACCAGGTATCTTAGATTGTTTGTGGTTGCAATTGCGAGGATTAATGTAACCAGGGGCCTTTTTCTGGCACTGTAGCCGAGCTACGGCGGTCTGCATGCAGTGGAAACTCGAGGTTCCTTTAGCATGAACCTTCCTTGAATTCCTCCTCGAGATTCAATTCCTTATCGTCCATTGGTTCAAATTACAATTATGTGACTATTGACGAAATCTTTTACATGTACGCTTTTCCTGCTGGACTGTATACTTGATGCATACGGAAAAGTTTTGGTATCTTGAAGAAGGAAACGATAGAACAGTAACCCATGCAGGAACTTTTGCATGCACTCACGCTACTGTGCAGTACATATAAAATTCAAAATACAGGTTGCTGCGCCTCTCAGGGTTATTGTGGCCCAAAGGCATTATACAAGGCTGCCTTCCTATATCTTCTCTATGGTTTGTTTCTTAATGCTGATGTGCGTCAGCATACTTCGATTTCCTCTTCTGAGATCAGCAATCATAATGGTAAATTTGATTGACTCATTGCCCTCATTCCTTACGGGCCTGACGTTGGCTTTAGCAACGTTCCGGTCTGCTACTGCGGTATCAACGAGTATGTAACAGAAAAAGGAACTGTAATGATACGATCAAATAACACGTCAATAGCGAATACGTTCAAAAACACGACCCTCCACACAATTACTTCATCAATACCATCCTCGATAAACCTGGCCGCGACGGTGACTCAAAATTGTTGTTTTCTTGTCCAAGACACAGTCCATGGGGCATGGTGGGAACAATACAGGACCCTAACTTCCATTAAAAATGTGAATTTCACATCATATACGTATTATGTCACCCCCTACTCAAATTCAACGATCACCAATGCAAACGCCCGAGTGTTTGCAAACAATTCTACATTCTACCTTACTGAGACCAGGGGTAGAGACCCTATGTCTACGTATGTCAATCCAAACCCAGGTCCGTATTATGAAGGGAAAAAGTTGGTACCCACTGGCAATATCACCCAGACTGTAGTTGGTAGGCAGACGATGTAAGTTCCTTGTAATCGCAGAAGCTACAAGGGCTTTTTATTTTGTGGTTCTTCCGCTAACAAATGAAGAAACTCGCCGGCTGCATTTTACATATATTCCACCGTAAAGGTAATAACAGCAGCTCCTGTTACAGATTCTCTTGGATCATTTGTATGTGGGACACAAGGGGTAGTCACAAACGCGTGGGTGACTGATGCAGATGCGTTTCGAACAATTGACAACGAAAACTCCAATGCACAATCTTATTGGGGAACTTCCAAAATCCCAGACGTGAAATATCCAACAACTACATTTACTTCAATCCTCACTACAACTTACCTGGATTACCAGTCGAGCTTCCCGGTCACAGAAACTTATACTTGGGAAATCGAGTCCTACTCTACTTCACATGCTCCATTTCCAATGGCGGGGGTAACCCTCACATTCGAAAAGCCATTTGTGTACACTCCTTCGTGGGCTGCGTCTGGAGCTACTGGTATTGGGTGGGGAGATTGCGATGGGCAAGATAAAGGTACCGTTCACTATGGTCATCTTCCCTCCACATTAAAGGATTGCATGGTGGGAGTTCCACATATCGTCAGTCAATATCCAAACCTTGCCTCGTGCTTGATCGCTGGGCCAAAAATTGCCACTCAAACTGTTTGCTCAGGCGCCGCGCCAGAATCTCAGAAAGCAATTGGTGGTGATCTTACTGCTTCAACCACTATCACGGTCAATCCTACACCTGATCCTGCTGCGTCTCAGGGTTCCGCCGCTCAACCTTTTTCTACTCACAATCCCCCGAACCCGGCTCCAGCATCACCAGTTATTTCTATCATACCCCAGTCAACGCCGCAAGAGCAAACTCAGGCTCCAGCAACGTCTTTTCTAGCTCCAGCTCATCCACCTACCCCCACCGACTTTATTCCGTTACCAATTATCTCAAAGCCATCACAGGGAGAGCAATATGTCTCTTCTGGTGGTCAACCTTTTGTGACTACAGCCTTTTACACTGTTTCTTATAACCCAGAGTCCTCGGTGGATGGCTCAACTATCATGATCGATGGGCAAACGAGAATAGTTGTAGCTCAAACTGTCGCAGCACCATTGGAAATTATTGGGCGCACGACCTGGATTTCAGGTACCCTGAACGTCATTCTACCAGCTTCCAAAACTCTACTTGTCGATCCAAAGATCCTTCCAACAACCGTCCAAGCACAAACAATGGTCAGCGATAGTAAAACCTACATCGTTCTTTCGACTCCAGTCACTATCCCTATTCCCAACGTGACACCCCAGGATCAGGCAGCCCAGATTCTCAAAAGCATAATATTTATCTCGGGGACCCCGAATATAGTGATTCCCGCCTCTCGGAATATCATTTATAATCCTATGCTGTTACCAACGGGCTCCGAGGCCAAAACTATCATCAGTGGAGGCCAGGCCTACATGTTCTTTGAGACACCAGTCACCATGCCTATCCCGTCCTTCTCTCACAGCACTAACGTGATATCTGGAACTCTGAACGCGATAATACCCGCCTCCCAAACCATTCTCTTTGACCCATCCTTGCTCCCAACAGGAGTTTCAGGAAGCACACTCGTTAGTGGAAGTAGCACCTACATCATCCTTGATACGCCTGTCACAGTCCCCATTGTACATTCGAGTCCCTTCTCAATATACGACATTGTATCGAAATTCTCGTTTGATGTAACTCTTCCTTCTCGAACGACTTCCATTGTATCTCCGACCGGATCGCCGACTATTATTCGGGCTGCTACTCCAGCCGCCACAGCGAGCCAGAAATCTAAAGCCAGAAGGGTAGAGAAGAATTCTTTTGGGTTCTTTGGGACTTTGGGTGCTGTATTGCTTTTGATTGCTTTTTGAATACAAGAATGAAACGAGGGAAGCTTTGATGATTGACCAGTTGTTAGGATAAAACCATGTTTGGGACTGCGAGGGGGAATATATGTATAGACCCAAGGACAGGCCTTATGAATTATACGCGATAATACCAAAAAATATATCTTCTGCTCCAATTTGAATGTAATGTGAAGAAAAAGAGGGTTAGTCCCTGAATCTCATCTAGTGAATTCGTGGAGGAAGTAGGGACGTTGTAAGAAGAGCCAACATAAGGCTTTCGCCTAAGTTCATTTAATTATCCCTTTCTCATTTCAAAAAGGAGGTATAGTTTATTTTGCAGAAGTTTTTCTGGTTTCCTAAAGTCAAATGAACTAACTACTGGTCACTTTACTCGCTAATTCCGGCAAATTAAGCGAGTCTTGGCAACCAAATTGGCAACGAGCAACTTTTATTTTCGCGCTCTTACTAAGTGCTAGTGGTTATTTTAACGATGACTTTAAGACAATAATTACAGAAGAGATATTACAGAAACATCACCTAGCACATCATTGATAAGTAAGTTTGGGTTTATCACGCTGATTTGGACAAGGTGGGATAATGAGAAGGAGTTTTTGTGGACTGAGAAACTCTCTGGGCTGTGTAATTAAATCTCAAATGACCAGCTGTGTACATACAAACCTAATGGAGTTTTGATTGTTTGGTGTCCCATGCGATAGTTGATTGTCAGAATGTAGGATGTTAACTAATATTGAACGAGCGAAACATAACTCGCTCACCTTTTTACACGGCACCAGAAAAACCACGTCTGTTTCATTTGTCTCTTCTATGTTACTCATTCTCCTATGTCAATTATACTTCCCCTGCTGGACTCTTTAATGCTTATAACAATACCGTTATCATTGTTCCAAAAATGACACTCATCAACCCAGTCCTAAGATTATTTCCCACATTCCCGGAAGGCTTAGCGATACCCCCACTCACATCTCCACTTCCCGCCTTTGCTTGAAAGTTCTGTTCGGACAACAGGGCCTGCACTGCTTGCAGTGCGCTCAAATCATTCTCCAAATCATTCGAGGAATTCGTTTCCTTCCAGTTCCACTCAAATGCGCATCTATTTTCATCACAAGCCTTCGCTGCTGCCACAGCCGTAGTTCTCACTACCGGCAAGATGACGGAAGATGTATAAGGAGTAATCGACATAGTATCCACAAGATTACGAATCAAAATACCTTTGGCGATATGCTGAGAGTCTGGGCATCCGGTAGCCTCGCATAACTCCTTCGCTATACCATCAGGGAAGAAGGTCGTAAGAGTCTTGTTGAGAAGCCCATCCAGAGTAGACTTCCAGATTGAGCTTCCATCAGTGACGTTATACATATAGGCCGCTCCGATAATATAAGTGCCTGCGTTATCGGTCCATTGACTATGGTCAATCTCCTCGCAGTCGCGGACGCTGGTTCCTTGGAAAACATTGTAATTCTCGACAAGACCACTTCCGTTAGACCATTGATAAGACTTTGTAGCCCAGTCGGAATAAGTGGCATTTCCTGTGAGTTTTGCCAGTCATGAGGATAACTGGAAGAAGTACCCCGTAGTAAGGGCACTCTTATAGTAGTATCCCTCAGTAAAAGAGGGAATCTGCCATCTCAAACCGCCACCACAGGATTTCTAAAGAACTCATGTGAAAGAAGTGGACGTAAGGAGGCATTGAGAAGTGCTAATCGGACTACCTACAGGAATTCCGCAGAGCGAACGTGCAAATTTCCTGATATTTAATCGAGGAAGGTGGGCTTTATGTCAGTGACACGTTGGGATATCATGTTCGTATTCGGCTTGATGAACGGTCCACTTTGTTGGTTATTTACGTTATTGATTCATGAGAGACGAAATGCTGTAGAGGAGGTACTCGAGGTGGACAATTGCTGTTGCATCACTACAGTAACTTCCAATGAAAAAGAAACGATGATGAAGCAGGAAGAACGCACTAGTCTGTCGATACTGCTCGAACCCTCATCTAATCGTAAGCTGGGGAATAGACAAAAGCCAAGTAAAAGCCTCAACTGTCCCAATCAAATTTTAACGAGCATATCTTCCCCAAATATCCCCAGTCAATTCCCCAAAAAGGAACTGTGCCAACACTCTAATTGCCCGCAGTTCAATAACGAGAAAATCAGATGCAAAATAAGCCAATATCCCCATGCACGGATTGGGTTTAATACCGCTGCTTATTTAAAGCAACAGCACATCAACAGAGGGGACCGAAACAGCAAGACTCTGTGGTTACAAGACCGGCAAAGCAACATGTCCAAAATTCTATGTAAATCCAGAAAGGGGATACAAAATCCATAACCGGCAAAGAAATCAAACAGTAAGGCGAGACCCGGAAATCAGGCGATTGATAGACTTGATCTCACTTCGGAGGAATTGGAGAGAATGATAATCACTTAGTAATGAAAAGTGATCCCCGACTGACTCTTGGAGACAACGAGGTAGGTGATGTCCCTGTTAAAGTTTGTGTTGTTTTAGTTGTGAATGTTTCAGTCGTAAAGCTAGGCTTAGACTCGACACAAAATCTGCTTTTGTCGCTAAAGGCGTCTTTGAACAAGCCTAAGCAGCAATATTATTGTATTCTTTGTTAGAATCTCGAGTATAAATGGATTTAGGTTTAGCAAAGGTCGTTCGGAGGGGAAGTTGGGGCTTATTATACGATCTAGATAGATGGTCGATTCTTTAACTAACATAAACAATATAGTAAGAACTCTTAGATTCCGAATCGAAGCTACCCAAAGATCTATTAACACTCGTGGCCAGATTTAATCTTTCTGATGAACAGAATATTCAATGGTTTCATACCTTGAACACCGGACTACAAGATCTAATTCGTGAGACGTAATTCCCCGAAAATAGCCTATTGGTTTGTATCCTAAACTGCGGTTCAAAGTCATATGTTTGTGTGAATTAAGCAGGCCTCTACTGTGTTTGGGTAGTGTAATTTGAACTGCTATCTAATGGAACTTTGGTTCCTAATAGTAAGGAGCTGTGAGGGTTGGAACCCATGATGGAGGCTCGGGCCATGCCCTCGCTAAGCACTGACCAAAGTCCTCGTTAAGCACTGACCAAAGTCCCTGCTTAGCACTGGCCATTACCCCACTGCCAAACAGGTTTCTACTTTTCCACACTTTCTTGTTTTGTTCTTCTGACATCATGTATTCGTCATTCAAGTTTCTTGCAAGTTTCTTGGAATATTCAGGAAGCTCTTCCTCTCTATATATAGAGGAAGAGCTCACATGTATGTAGTCCTCACGCACTTCTTAATTGAATATTCGAAACCACACCTTTGAGCTATTCGAGGTCTGGCCTCTCACAGGAGCCAGCAATAAAAGGGACAAGTGTGAAGTTCGATGCCAAAGTGAAAGGAGCGTCTTTTTGTTGGGTTATTTTGTAATAAGAAATTCGTAGATATTGGTTATATAGACTGCCCTAGTGCCATAAAGTCTTGTGAACAGATCCCACATCTAGCATGTCGGCTTCAAAGTCCTAACGATCGTTGATATCGCCAAGTCTGAGCTGAAGATACAGACACGGGGAATCTAAGTACCAGATATGCGTCATGTAGGTCAATTATAGAATCACAACACAGAGTTGGAAGAAACAACCGTTATCCCCCGAAAGCAATTGCTGTATTGTGAAATGTGACACGCTAACCAGATTCGAGTTGAAAAACTCAAGTTAAGGTTAATATAGAAGGAGGAGGGCAATGTACCAGCGGGACGGGAACGCTATAGAAAATCGGCGATTTAGGTAAAACAAATAATTGAAGATAAACACACGCAGACTAATAATGAGGATTTTTCAGGCGCTTCCTAGTACCATAGACAGAACTTGTAATTGTATATTGAAATCAAGGAGCCTGGCGAGGAAATAATGACTATGACTGGCGATTAGTCCTAAAAATTGCTGTAAGCGTAACTATGTTTACATGTATTCCTCTTAAAACGGTGTTACCATAGTGAAAGTTCGAGCTAATTAATCGTCTACGGTCTTAACCTTCTTCTCACAGTCAAAGACCATAGGTAATCAAGGGCGCGTAATCCATGCTCTTGATCAGCCTATTATACTTACCACCTTAAATATTGGAAATCCAGCCTCGATACTACTTAGAGTTGCGATTAATAATCTAAAAAGTTGTGTTAATGAATTTAAGGAGAAGTGAAATTTCCTCAAAAGATTATTTCTCCCACCTCGGTTATGTATAGCAATTACCGGGTGCACATTTAGTGAACCAGCTAAGAGTCACGTGTATTTCTTTTTAGAAACACGCCAGTAAAACCATAAACCAACCTTGGAACGTCAAATCCAACATCAGGATCCACAACACACCAGCATCTCGTCAACACCAATTCCAATCTCACAAAGATCCATAATGCAAAGAGTGTACCCAAGTCTTCCCTACAATCTTCCCTCATCAAACCAATCAAAGGATCAAAATGGCCGTACCCTCCTCTCCCTTCCTACCGAATTGCTCCAAGCCGTCATCGGCGAAATGGTATCAGCCTTTGGGATATACCAAGCTATTAAGTTGCGTTTGATCAGTAGTAATTATCTCTCCAATTTCAAAATGATAGCGATGGAATTCTGACTTTTGAGTAGAATGGTTCAACGAATTGCTTTTAGATGTCATCTATAAAGGGCCCTACATCAAACTAGCCGTTCTCCAACGCGAAAAACAGAGGATCATCCCTCCTCCATTCCTAGCGGGCTTTCTCATAGCCCGGTATGAGAAATACAATCAATTCAACGGTTCCTTAATGAACATCATTGCCCGCTCCGCCCTCCGACTGGAAGAGGATGACGGGGTTCTTCTCAATCACGATATCCGAGCGAGGAGAATTGCTGCGCTATGTCATGCCGTTTCCCGAAATTTACATCATGAAGAAATCATTCGATTGGGTGATAGTAGTGATGCATATTACTCCTTATGGGATTCGCACGATGAGAACTACGGTGCTCTCATAGCGGCAGCTTCAACGGGGGATCTGTCATCCACGCAAGACTTTTTCGAGAAAGTCAAAGTCTGCACTTGTACTTCCACACGAGCAGAAGATTGCTTCGGAACCGCCCTTATAGCATCAACCTCCAGCGGACAATACCACACCACCAACCTCCTTCTAAAGAGCGGTGCAAACCCAAATCTCGTCTCCAGAACTCCGCCAGCATACCTCACAGCCCTCAAAGCCGCATGTGAAGCAGGAAACAGCCAAATAGCAACCCTCCTCCTCTCACCATCCTACAAACTCATCCGATCAGACGACCACTACCAACGAGCCGTAGAGCTAGCAATTAACGGCCATCACTGGGACCTAGCTCAATACCTAATAGAGCGCAGCGAAGTCCCACACACCACCACCCTCACCACACGCCTCTTCTTCGAAGCCGCCCTCGCAGGAAACCTCCCAGTCCTCTCTTCCCTCCTCTCCTCCAAAGCAGTAGATATAAACCAACCAAGCCCCTCCCATATCCGAGACCATCTCCAAAACCACTCCATCCTCGGCTTCGCCGCCTCAAAAGGCCACACCTCAGCCGTCCACCTCCTCCTAACCCACAACCCTCTAAAACACACGCCCCAATTCCACAACGCCCTCATCGCCGCCGCCACCACCCCCTCCATCCCCCTCGCCGCACTCNTCCACCTCCTCCTAACCCACAACCCTCTAAAACACACGCCCCAATTCCACAACGCCCTCATCGCCGCCGCCACCACCCCCTCCATCCCCCTCGCCGCACTCCTCCTCTCCGCAGGCTGCAACATAAACCACATCCTCACCACCTCGCACCCCTTCTCCCCTCTCGACACACCCCTCAGCGCAGCCTGTCGACACCGTCGCACAGGAATGGTACGTTTCCTCCTCTCGCAGGGCGCGGACGTGAAGGCGGGGGGTAAAGGCGACTCGGCGTTGTTGCTGGCGTGTAAGATGGGGGCGTTTGAGATTGTAAGGATGTTGGTGGAGGCAGGGGTGGATCCGGATGGGTGGGAGAGTCGGAGGAGTCGGAGGAGTGTGCCGGTTTTGACGGCGTTGAAGAGGGGGCATTATCGCGTGGTGGATTTGTTGCTGGTGCTTGGGGCGAGGAGTTTGAGGCCGGGGTTTCAGGAGGCTTTGTGAGGGTTGGGGGTTGGGTTTTGGGGTGTTTTTGGGTATTTTTCTGGGTACGTTCTTTTAGGGTTTGGATTTACTGGACGCTAGAGTATGAAAGGGTAGAGACTTCTATTGGGGTCTGAGATTAGCTGGAGTTAAAAAGACTTCATTGGGTATTAGTGTTTTTTAAATATAGTTTGGGGATTTTCTGTTGGCGTTTTAGACTTGTTGGAAGATATAGTATGAAATGGTGGAGATCGGGGTCTGAGATTAGCTGGAGTTAAAAGCACTTCTTTGGGTATCAGTATTTATCGAATATATCTCTTCAAAAAAGAGCGAGAATTATTTTCCCGTTCTTGCCTAAGCCTTTAAAAAGTCCCATCTCATCTCTTATACTAACAAGTATCTCTTTTCAAAAGAGCAGCGTAAAAACTTCGATACTCTAACTCCCTCCCTCTCCTCTAACCACGTTACGACATAACTAGTCTCGGCTCTACTATCTAGTACTAGTATATTCTATAGAAGGCGCTAGTCTTCCGAACACTTCTAGGTAGATAGATAGCTTTTATATTAGAGCCTTAATCGCCTCTTAGCTAGCGTCTCTCCTTATTTTACTTTTTATACCTTATTCTAATTGTCTCTTATTTTGTTTTTAATAAATCCCGTCTTTCCCTACTCTTACAAACACTCTTATAATAAATTAACCGTAATCCTCGACGCTAAATTCCCTAGGTCTAGAATATTCTCCTCTTCTTTCTATCTCTTTCTATCTCTCTACTTTATATACCTACTTATTTATCTACTTATTTTTTTCATCTCTGTTCTTTATACTTACTTCTTTTAAAAAGAAACTCGTTAATTTTATTCCTATACCTTATTAATAAAGTATAATATTCTTTTCCTTTCTCTTTTTCTTTTCTATTTTCTTTTTCTTTTTCTTCTTCTTCCCCTTTTCCCTCTCCTCCCCTTCTTCTCTCTCTCGTCCTCCCAACTCCTCCCCCCTCCCTAGAAAGTAATAATAAACAAATAAACAAATTCCTATAATCTCTTCTCTCTCTAAAAAAGAAAAAGAAAAAGAAAATAAAAAGAAATAAATAAAAACCTAGAAGAAATACTATAAGAACCGTAAACAAAGTATATATCTTTACCTAATTTATAAGCGAGTATCTAAAGCTAGGCGGAAAGGAAAAAAGAGAGCTCTAGCTCCAAGGTACGAGTTTACATATGTTTGGATCGTAGGAGTTTGGTCACGTGACGGACCCCCTGTGATAGGGGCAAGGCGGGGTCGTTATATATATACTACGGGTAATGTTCTCCCGAGAAAGAAAAAATTAAAGTAAGAAGGAAGAGAGGGAAAGAAAGAAAGAAAGAAAGAAAAAGAAAGAAAGAAAAGAAAAGAAGACCTCGAGTTACTATAGGAAACTAAGCTTAAAGTAAAGCTTCGTGAATTCCCCGAAAGAAACCAAAAAAATGGATAGGGTCGGGGAAAGGAAGAAACGTACCGCTCTGTAAGACTTACTGCTCTGTACTGCTCTGGAAATACGCACACCGCGTAACCACCCGTACTCCGTACAGCTCCCCCTCATTCTCTCTCTCTCTCTCTCTTTCTTTCTTCGTAATCCACCTACCCAGGCAAGCAATACACCCCATACACCTACCTGCGTCATAAATAACCCATTCCCACAAAAAAATAATGACCAGCTCACCTCGGTTATGCACACGGAAATCACAAAATCAATCAAAAAAAAAATAAGCAACCCGATACCTGAAACTAACCCCTGAATCCCTCCCAAGGAAATTCAATCCCAAGCTTAATCAAAAACCCGCCTTGGATTGGCTCGTAAAATGATCTCCCCGCCGCCGAGAGGGATTTTCAACAAGGGGGGTAACACACCAGCAAGGTCTCCCAGCAAGAAAAAGGTACGGAGTAACGGAGTAAACAGGGACCCCTGGCTGTGCGATAGGGATGCATCTAATCAACCCCCGGAAATTTTTCATGATGGGGTTCGTTTCTTCTTGTTTTTCTTCGCCTTTTGGGGCTTTGAGGGGAGATGTGATGAGGACGTAATGTTGGTGTTTGATCTTTTCATAAGACATGTTCTCCATTCAAAGATTATGCGGAAGAGTTTTGAGTGACGCGTACGGAACGACGTATTTAGAGCGGGATTGCGGTATTATGTGATGTGTTTGTTGTACGAAGTACGAAGGGTGGTATGCTGATGTGCTGATGCGATGGTATGGTGGTACCTTGCATGTTGCCATCGTTGCTTGCAGGTTGCTTCTGTAGGTCAGCAAGATCCACGGATCCGGACCAGTGTCGAATTGGCCAGAACGACGGATTTTCCTCTTTTCCATGTCTTTCCTTCCGTACGCCCTCTGACTTCCCTCCCTTCCTGTCAAAAATCCCGGTACAGTCGGGGGAAAGTTGACGATAGTCCTGATTGGAGTGTGACGATCTTTGAAACAAGACTTGCAATTGGAATAGGACCCACAGATTACGCCGCGCAATCAGCGATTCAATGAGAGCCTATCACGACGCTGTGAGTGATGAACATCTGCAGCTGGCAGCCGCGCCGGAGCAGCTGGTGGGGTTATGAATGTGATTGCAATTGTGATGGGATAATTACCGTGTTTTCTAAACATCAAACAAAACAATCTTGATGCTTATTTTTTAATGTCTGAAAAGCGGCCGAGTGATAGATGATTTTCCTTGTTTGTCGGTTTGACGCCGCCGAGAGGGATCAATTATCGATCGCATCCTCGACTCCTAGAACCGAAAAAGCTTAGAGGGTTAGTAGTGTTAGTATGCAGTAAGCTAGTGTTTGCCGCGGGTACATTCGTCGGGTTGGGTATTTCCCTTGAACCATTTTTCTTTTGGTCATGTTTAACCTTACAGCCTCCCACATGGGTTTCAAAGGTTGGGAACAACGAGAACCAATGAGGACTCTGAAGGAGGATCAAGTTGATGGCAAGTCAGTAGCGAATTTTCCAGACGATTGATGGATGATGAATGCGATGTCTTCATCTCCATTGAACCATTCAACTCCTCGCTGCAGTTAGAAATGGGCCGTCGACGAAATTAGGTAATATTGATCGGTTCCTCTTGCTTCCCTCCTGGGGTTCCTTACCCAAATTTGACGAACTGTCCCAAGCACTTGTACATGTGAATAGTGAACTGGTGCGACTAGGCTTGCATACTGAACAGATGCGCGAATACTGTATTGTACACCTATGTTATTCATGCTGATCGCTTGGTCTAGGAGCTGGAGAAGGCCGCGTTTATTCCCAGTCAGTCTCTCCAAAGTCCGAAAATTGCTCGTTTTGGTGACGGCGTGTAACCCCTTTTTAGACCATTTTTTACCGCACCACACCGCATCGCATCGCATCCTGACTGTCGGGAGCGTATTTAGGGAATAGGAGTGGATGTGGGAGTGTTCGAAAGCATTCGCCAGTGCTGATCCCTCTCGGTACGGGATATTCCATCGCAATTCTGACTGATTTGCTGGGGTGAAAATGACCAAGATGGTGTTGCTCGTTGCTCATCATCAACACTTTGTTCACTTGGTGACTTGATGGTGGCGGCAGGTGCTGCGCAATCGTATCCGTACGAGCGAGAATACCCTCCGTACTTTCGAGTACTCGAACTTCGCAGTACGAAGTACTAATGACCGGTTCTCGCCCGGATCGTCCTGTGGACGGAGAGGAACGCAAATAAGGTTCGATGCCTGCAGACTGCTTCTTGGGCTTGTTTCTGCTGCACCGACGACTCTTACCCTCATTGATTGCCCAACCCTCATTAGACCCCCTCATTAGAGCTTCTCGGCAGCCTCAGCAACCGCTGTGCTGTGGGCGGTGTGCTGCTGAGTAGACAAGGGTAGGAGTGACCTGAACCGAACTCACCTTCCCTCACTTCGGTAGAAGTACCAAGTATGTCACTTGGGGCAACACGTCGACGTCGTCCCTCTCAGGAGAAGCCTCAGCAAGACAGCCTTCCGAATAATGCAGCCGTGGATGAGATGACGTGGTTTCAGGTAAGAAGAAGAAGATTACGTATAGTGTCTCCTCCTCCGCTCTTGCCCTGTGGGGGAGGCGTCGAGGGCATTGCAGTGGGGAAGAAGTCGAGGTCGAGGGCATTGCATTGGTGGAACGGGAGTAGTGAGTCGTCAGTTGCAGGAGCTCACTTGAGTCTTTAGGGTCATCTACTTTAGTGTCGCTCTGCCGTGGAAACCGAGGGCGAGACTGCTGGGACGACAGGTGGCAAGACTTCTGGCTGGCCTTGACACTGCTTGACTCTCTTGACTCTCTTGACACTGCTTGACTCTCTTGACTCTCTGGACTCTCTTGACTCCCTGGGCTCTCTTGACTCTCTGGACTCTCTGGACTCTCTGGACTCTCTGGACTCTCTGGACTCTCTGGACTCTCTGGACGCTGGAATAAGATTTCTGGGCACGACTCATTTCAACTCATTTCAGCGTGTCCGTCAGGAGGCACTTGAAGGCACTCCAGGCACTCCAGGCACTCGCGACGCACACAGGATCGGCAAGCCTACCCGCGGAACAAGAGGTCTCGACAGGGATCCCGGCTGGGCTGCGGGGATGGAGGGAGTACCAGATGAAAGCCCTCAGGGGTCGTTCCCCCGGTCCCCCCCGTCGTCCCCCCCTCATCCCACCCAGCGACGCGCTAACCCATCATTGGCCCGTGCACCTCATTTGCGACCTCCTCTCGCACTACTACAAAGTCGAAACATCCCGCGACCTTCTCTGCTTCTTCTACCTTGCTCTACACCGTCTTCATCCTCGTCCAACCTTCCACACTCCAGTCGTTAGCGGCAATTACACTCCTTGACGAGATCTAGCACAGTTCACAGTTCCCTCAATCCGTACACGATAGCAAAACAAGAAACGCTCGCTTCGATAGCTTCCGATATCATTCACAGCATCTACCCGTCGTCACACCCGTCCCAACAACACAAATCACGACCCACGACCCGTCTCCCGGTTTCAATCCCACGAGTTTACAATCGTTCTTCGAAAGAATTGTTGAAAAGGTACAGCCGTGCTGTCAACTCATCTTCGACTTGAGATCTTGCATCCAAGTCCCTCCGCACCTGTATTTACAGTTCTCGCCTAAACCCGAATCTGTCACTCGCTAGATCCATCTACGTAAACGTTCACTCATTTATCAAGATGCATTCCTCAACCATCATTGCCTCTCTCTTGGCTGCCTTGGCCGTAGCCCACCCCTTCCGACATGTCAAGAAGGCCTACAAGTATGATATCAAGATTGTCACCGAGTATGTCACCGTCACTGCTGGTCAACCCTTCCCTCTCCCAGGTCCTCAAACCACTCCACCAGCTCCCACTCCAACCCCAGACACTGTGTTTGTTTTCAACACTGTCTATGCACCTCCTCCAGGTTATCCTGCAGGACCATGGCCCCAACCACCAAATCAACAAGGCCAGCCACCGAAGCCTTCTCCTGTCCCAGTTCAACCTCCCCAATTTCAACCTGCTCCAGTTGAACCTGCTCCCGTTCAACCCGCTCCCGTTGAACCTGCTCCCGTTGAACCTGCTCCCATTGAACCTGCTCCCGTTCAACCCGCTCCCGTTGAACCTGCTCCAGTTCAACCTGTCCCAGTTCAACCCGCTCCAGTTGAACCTATTCCAGTTCAAGTCACCTCTGAACCTGAGGCGCCTGTTGTGATTGCTGAATCTCCAGCTCCAAAGAACGCTGAGCAACCAAAATATGAGCCACCCAAGGAGGAGCCAAAGCCAGCTCCCGCTCCAGAGCCAACTACTGCTCCAGCCCCAGCTCCTACCACAGTCACCCCACCCGTTGTCGTCAAGCCAAGTGAACCAGCTCCTGCCAACGACTACGCAACTATGGCTGTTAACCAACACAACATCCACCGTTCTAACCACTCGGCACCCGATGTTGCATGGAACCAAACTCTTGCTGACTGGGCCATGAACACCGCCAAGACCTGTGTCTTCAAGCACGATATGTAAGTTATTGGAATACTCATTCCTATTTGCATGACTAACATCAAATAGGACCCAAGGAACTGGCAACTACGGACAAAACATTCAAGATTTCGGCCGTTCCCCATGGAACAACCTTGATCTCACCACTGCTGGTGCCAACGGTATCACTGAGTATTGGTACAACGGAGAGATCAACCTTTTCCCGGAGAACTCTTATGACAACACTAGATCTGACCCAGCCATGGGTGCTGATTGGCTCCACTTCTCCGCCATGGTCTGGAAGTCAACCAAGACCATTGGATGTGCCACCTATAGATGTGCCGCAGGTACTTTGAATGCAAATGTTGACACTGCTTACACTGTCTGTAACTACTTCCCAGCCGGTATGTCATCTTGCGTATATTTCAGCATTTCAAAACTAATATTTTTCAGGAAACATGGGTGGTTCATATGGTGCCAACATTGGCAAGCCTCTCGGCAAGGCCACCGTCAACGCCCCTCTCAACTAAATATGACCTGAGATCATTCAAGGCCTCGTTTTCCTCGGCAGTTCTGGCCGCGCAACCTACTTTTCATGTACGAAAAAATATTAGCAGGTACTTTATGTCATGTCGCGCCGGTCCGTCCGCATGACAACTGTGTCTCTTGCATACATCATCACCATAGACGTTGAAGCGGTTCCCAGTTGTTTACAACTAGAAAGGGTTGTCGATCTACTCCATTCGCCGTCGCCATTTTGCCATCTTCGAGATTCTCTCTTCGACTTTTTTCGGACTCTTGCACCTCTGAAAATGCGGCCTCGGTGGATCTTTTCCTTTACTATAATTCATGTACATACTTACGACCATCTTTTTCTTCTCTTCGTTTTCCTACCTTCTCATGATGCATCATTCCATCACAAGCAATGCATCATGAAAGTTGGGAGGTTGTTCTAAGGGCTGGTGGGCAATTGGTACGGATATTACCCGCCCGAAGACGACAATTTTACCATTTCTCTTGATGACTTCTTTTTTACTTTTGTCTTGTTTTTGCTTTGAGGTTCTGGCGTATGTATGGTAAAGGTGGAAAATGGGGAGTTTGATAAAAAGGGATGAAGATGTGTCGGTTGGTTTCCCATGGAAACACATAAAGATAAGATAAAATACCACCCCTTTTTGATAGGGAGGAGCGAGGCTCCTTGAATGAGAGATTTATTCGCTTGCCATGTTTTTGTGTTTGTGTTTATGACGTGCATTGCTTGGTGTCATTACTTTGTGATGTGGTGTGGTGTACTGTAATGATATGTGTTGGTGTGTTGATTTATCATTTGTTTCTGTTTTTTGGGAGGGGGGAAGGATAGAGGGCAAAGGGGGGTGGGTGCGTGGTTGGAGGGGTGGATGATGTGATGATGTGATATGATCTAATGTGATAATAGATACAACTGTATAGCTGACTGACTTGTTTTTTT